ATTTATTCATTATCATTTATAAATACAGCAAATTATAATAATAGTACTTATTAACTTTAGCCTTCAGGTATGTTACTTACATTAAGGAGAAAATAAATACATATATATGATGTATAATTGTACATATATTCTCAAAACTCATTTCTTAAGTATATGTATATAAAATTCTTACCTGTAGTAACAAACTTGTAAAATATATCTATTTATCATAATTCATAAAGAGATTTGTTATTCTTGATCTTGTTTCATCTTAATTCTTGAGTGGCATTTCACACATAACCACAACTCATCCACTTATTTTTCAACATTAGTTGGGACTCAGTTTAATCACATTTTGATTCATCTTAATTGTTGAGTGCTCGATAAAAATGTTAGACATTCAGGTCACATGTTCATTTTTTTTTTTTTTTATAGGATTCCATAAATGTGTAGCATAAATGGGTTTAATTTATTAAAATGCAAATCAAATTCGAACAAGTCAAATAATAATTTTAAATTAGGGTCTCTGAAATTCTTAATGATTTTTTATTGGATATAAATTACATGTAGTTCTCATTTATATGTACAAATCATTGTAATTTTGTGAGTTGTATAGTTTTTAAATGTACATAACTGTTTGCTTGGTTTAATTGATTCATACTGAGATGGATGAAAACTCGAATGTTGCCATTTCATTTGGTTCTTGGTGGATAAATCGTGGGATCTTGCCAATAATAGTATTTAATTGCTATAGGTTGAGGGGCAAACAGATGAAGTTATTTTTGACCATTTGCAATTGCATGCAACTTCGTTCCAGTTATACACTCCTTTAGATGAGACAATTGATGAAGTGTTGTTATTTTTGTGGTACTAAGGCATCTAATTTTGACATACACATGGAGGAGGGGAATACAACCAAAGTTTTACATGATGCAAGAAGTTTTACTTGTATAGTTTTGTAACTTGTGTTGTGTAAATTTGATTTGAGAGGAGGGCTACTGTGAGCAGTTTTCAGCTTGTTTATAGTGCTGCTGAGTACTTGATTAACATTGTTTAGTTTAGTTTGATGATTCAATTGCAATCAAGTTCTATAATTTGATTTTAAATTTGATCATGCATTCTAGAACTTTGGAGCTTATAGAAATTTGATTTTAAAACAAAATGTGAATAAATTGATGCAATTACAGGTTGAGATGGAATAAGAATTCGAAAAATCGAACTTTGCTTGAATTCGAACTTTGATGCGAGCAAAAATTCAATCTCCTCCTTGAACTTGAATTCGAGCCTAAGCTCGAACTCGAACTCGAACATGGCTCAAATAACAAACGAACCAAACTCGAACACCCATCAATTTACTGAACTCGAATATGAACATGGTTTCCTAGGCTCGACGAATTCGAACTCAAACTCGAACTCTATCAAATTTTCACGAACTGAACTTGAACCCGACAGTAATCGGCTCGGCTCAGCTCAGCTCGTTTGCAGGCCTAGACTATAAGTTAAGGAGTTGAAAGATGAAAGGTTAGTGGATTAATGGAGGAGGTTTTAAGAATTGGAAAGTGAAAAGGTGGAAAGTAATGGTAGATTCAATGTCTTGTCTCACCTTGAGTAGTATAAAAATGTGTTCTTCCTCTCATTTCAAACACACCAAAATTTCAATCTCTCATTTTCTCTCTAGTTTTAAAGGTTTTCCTTTGTTGGAGTTAAGGCTTAATTTGGTTCGTTAGAATAGAAGAGTTATTTATCTGTTGTTGTATCGTAGGAAACAGACGCTGTTCAAATCCTTGTGCACCCAAGTGAAGGAGGCGAATCTGTTTTAGGGAAACTGTATGTTACACAGGCCTCGACATTCATCCTAAGGTTATATTCTTTACCGGATCTCTTCTTGTCATTCTGAAGGATCTCTTACACATGATCACGTTGTTAGTAATGTTAATTTTATTGTATTGTCATTTTATTTTATTGACATTTAATTCTATTGTTTTTATATTCAATAGATTTATTATTTGCGGTTACTAATATAATAGTTGATTATTTTATAAAAAGATATAAACTTTAAATGAATATTATTATTCATAAATTAAAGTCTCATTAAAACTGAAATTTTTTAAAAATGGTATTTTAAGATTATGAAATCACCATATAAACTTTTAAAAATAATATTTGTTTGTTTTTAATTAGAGANATGAGACGATTAATTGGTGTTAATCGCGATACTACACACTACCGTTATGATAAGGAGCCTACGGGTCACACACATAGAAGATAATTTAAGAACCAGTTTATAAGAAGGGTGTTTTCTTCTTTTTAGGTTAAATGGTATTTTGGTAATTTCACAGTGTAATTAAATTTGTTGAGGTCGTAGCCTTTATTTAATTTGTTAATTAAATTAAATAAGTGAAATCATATTTAAATATGTGTTCGCATATATTTAAATGAATTATTGTTATTGTTAAATATTAATATGTGAAATATATATATTAATTTAATTTAATTGAAATAACAATAATAATTAAAATTAAAATATCTTAAAGGGGCTGTTTGGATGCAAGAAGTTGTTTGGGTTGATGCCCAAGCCCATTCCATGATGGAATAGGGTATAGTGTTGCACTATATAAGTGCAACACTTTGTGAAATAAAATGAATTAATTTTTTCATTCACAAAGCAAAATATTCCAACCCCTTTTTGCTCTCCCACGCCAGATTTCTTTTGCTTGAATCAAATATTTCATTTGATTTTCATCTTGATTCTTAAAGGTTAAAGAGGATCTAGCAAATCCCTCTTTAGTTCCTTGAGGTTGTCTTCGTGTGGACTACATTGGTTCGATCCTACACTTGGGTCGGTAGCGAAATCCGTTCAGAGACAAACTTGGAGGAACCTCCAAACGTGCGTATGATTTCTTAAACTTTAAACTAATTTTTCTGCAGATTCTATTATTTTGTATAAACTGTAATTTTTGTGCCCTGATCTTGGTTCTAAGGAATGATCTATCATGTAAATTATTTTGTTTTTCGCTGCCATAGATGATCGTTTCCTAACAGTGGTATTAGAGCCTAGGGTACCAGATTTTACAGTTTTTGTGAATGGTTGATTGCATGTATTTGATTGATAACATGTTGCCTTGATGAATCTGCACAAAATCTGCCATGAAAGCATGTTTTAAGAAATCAATTAATTGATTAATTTAATTTGTTGATGATCTGCAATTTGGAATATACTGGTGTTAGTAAACGGTCCCGTATATGCAGCAGAAACAAAAATTAATATAACAGGATCGTTTACATGAGCCAAGATCAAGGGTATAATTTTACAATTNTGCAATGAAGATGCTAGATAAAATTATATATGGAATTCTGACCTTAAACGTGATTCACATTATAAATAGTTGTGTTGATCCGTTAAATATGTATTAATGTTTGATTAATATCAAATAACATAAGTTTTTTTATGTTTTTAATATTCACAACAAAAATGTTTTGAGGTTTAGACATATATAGCTAATTCAATAATCACAATTTTCCAACATATACAGGTTTTATTTAAAAAACAAATTCAACCATAAAATCTAATAACTTATCAATTATACCATTAATAAAACAAAAATAATTATATTATTAATGTATGACGCTAGACTGTATTAGAGTCGATAGTTTAGATCAAGTCTAGAATTTAATAGTCTAATTAAAATATTTAAGACCATGCGAGACCACGCTAGACTTGATACTCTTAACCATTCCAATTGTTTTTGTCTTTGTAATTTTAATTAAGGGTAATTTGGTTAAATCATGTAATTTTATGACTAATTCTTTAAAAAAACACTTGACATTTTAAGAATTAAAATTAGGAAAGCTGGTTATATATAGGAATATTTCAAAAATTTTAGGAAACATTTACATCTTAAAACTCAACGCCATCTAATTTCAATTGGTTATTAACCGTTGACTCTAAAATGTAGTAAAAGACAACTATACCCCTAATTTGTTTTTATTTAATAGTAGAATTTTTTAAGTTATTAAAATGTATAAATTAAAGCTTTTTTTATTTATTTATTTTAATCCACTTGCCTTGCTTTTCGTTGGAATGAATCGGTTAACTATGTTGTATCAAATTAAAGCAAAATCTTGTGGGGGTAGTTGATTTTATTTTTCCATCATCACGCCAAGCATATATTACTTTTCTTTTTGCCTGGCATTTCCATCATTAAGTCAAGTATCTTTTCATCTTTCAAGTTTGTGTATTGATCAAGAATGTCGTTATTTTTATCTGTAACCGTAAGTAACATGGTCTGACAAGCAATTTTACAGCTAGTTTCATAACTTCACCCTCTTAAAATCAATTTGTATTACAACAACAAATGGCAGAAGCAATAGCATTTGACATCGTGGGGAAAATCTTGCTAGGCTTGGGGTCCTTGGCTCTCGGAGAAGGCAAATTGACATGGGGTGTTAAAAGATGAAATTCAAAAACTCAACAACACTGTCAACACTATCAAAAATGTACTTCTCGATGCTGAAGAGCAGCACAGCAAAATGAACTACGCGGTGACAGACTGGATTCAAAGGCTCAAAGATGCATTTTATGAAACAGATGACTTGCTAGACGATTTTTCTACTTACCTTCAATGACGAGAGTTAATGACTGGAAATAAAATGGCAAAACAGGTAAGCATTTTCTTCTCCAAATCTAATCAGATCACATATAGTCTTAAAATGGCTCATAAGATTAAGGCTATTAAGGAGAAACTAGATGCGATTAATATTGATAGGAAATTCGACCTTAAGGAGAGTCTTGAGGAAAAAAGAGTCATGAACATAGAAAGGGAAACACACTCCTTCAAACGTGCAGAAAAGATTTTAGGAAGAAATGATATAGAAAAAAAGTTATACAACTTTTGTTGGACTCAAACAGGGATGAGAATGTTTCAATCATTTCCATATTTGGGTTTGGAGGAGTAGATAAGACTGCACTTGCTCAACTTTTATACAATGATGAGCAAATCATAAACTATTTTCAATTAAGGATGTGGGTCTACGTATCTAATACCTTTAATGAGAAAATGATTGTGGAAAAGATCCTAAAATCTGCAACTGGTAAGAAAATTGAAGGACTTGAAATTGATCAATTACAAGAATGCCTACGCAAAGAAATTAATGGGAAAAAATATTTACTAGTGTTGGATGATATATGGAATGTAAATCCTAATACATGGAATGAATTAAAAAATTTGTTAATGGATGGTGAAAGAGGAAGTAAGATACTAGTGACTACACGTAATGAGCAGGTTGCTAGAGAACTTAAATCTTATGTCTATCCCTTGAAAGTACTAGATGAAAACAAGTATTGGTCTTTGTTTACAAAAGTAGCCTTTGAACTTGGGATGGAGCCAAAAGATTCAGAACTAGTAGAGATTGGAAAGAAGATTGTAGCAAAGTGTGGAGGAGTTCCTCTTGTTATAATGACTATAGGACACTTACTGTTTGGTAGTAATGAAAAAGATGATTGGTTGCATTTTAAGGATAATGAAATGTCAAATGTGATTGAAGAAGAAAGTGATATTTTACCATCACTCAAGCTTAGTTATGATCATCTTCCCTCACACTTGAAACAATGTTTCTCTTATTGTGCATTGTTTCCCAAAGGTTATAAGATCAAGAAGCAAAAGCTAATTTATCTTTGGATGGCACAAGGGTTTCTTCAAGCATCAAATGAGGATTGTCTAGAAGATGTAAGTAATAAGTGTTTTATGATTTTACTTTTGAGGTCTTTTTTTAAAGATCCACAATATGATGAATGGGGCAATGTAATTGCATGTAAGATACCTGATCTTATGTATGACCTTGCACAATTAGTTGCAAGAACTGAGTGCACCTTACTGACTTTAGGCACAGCTAAAGATGTGGATGCAAGATGTCGTCATGTATCAATTGATTGTGGTGAAGTAAAATGATTATTGAAATTTCCAGTTGCATTATATAATGCCAAAAATACAAGAACTTTGCTTTTATTTTATCGATCAAATTGGGGATTTGACTTGGATGGTGATTGTGAAATTTTTTCAAGTTATAAGTACTTGCGAACATTGGATTTTGGACAGTTAAAGTTTCAGAAGTTGTTGCATTCAAATGGTAAGCTGGAGAGTTTATTTAGGGAATTTGGGCATTTACGATATCTCAATTTTTCTTATATGCATATTGAAAAACTTTCAAATTCAATGTTGAGACTATGGTATTTGGAAACACTAGACCTCCCTCATTGTGACAAGCTTAAGGAACTACCAAGAGATATTGGAAAAATGGTAAATCTGAGGCATCTTATAAACAAAAAATGTGATTCCTTAATTGGAATGCCATATGGATTAGGATGCTTGAGTAATCTTCAGACTCTATCACTATTTGTAGTAAGTCAAATAAAAAGGGAACACAATGGGATAGAGGAATTGAATGGGTTGAACAACTTGAGAGGGAAACTAAATATAAAGAATTTAAAATATGAAGAAAATGGCAAGTTGGCCAATTTAGAAGGAAAGAGATTTCTTCAGTCTCTTATATTGGATTGGGGGAGAACTAATGATGGAGAGGTTCAAGGAAGTGATGAAGTGGTGTTAGAAGGTCTAAAACCACACCCAAATCTGAAAAAAAATATTATAAGTTCATTCATAGGTGTGAAGTGGTGTAGCTGGCTTTCCTCCCTCACAAAATTAACTTCAATTAGTATAAAAGAATGTAGGAGATGCCAACGTATCCCACTGTTGGATCAATTACCTCATTTGAAGAGTTTGTCTCTTGCATATCTAGACGTTGTGGAATACATTTCAGATGAAGCAAGTAACAATTGTTCAACATTCTTCCCCTCACTTAAAGAACTGGCTCTCTACAATTGTCCTAAATTGATTTGATGGTGGAGGCGAGATAATGATGTAGATTTTCCTTCATTTCCTTGTCTTTCCAAATTGTATATCCAAACTTGCCCCAAACTGACGTTCATGCCGTTGTTTCCATCTCTGGAAGATCTAAAATTGTGCGAGACCAGCTGGAAACCGCTGGAACGGACGATGATGTTGATGAATATAGAAGGAGCATCGACTTCCTCTAGCTTTTCTGCCCCCCTCTCCAATTTAAAGTCTATGCATATTGTTAAAATTCCTGATCTAGAATCTCTACCAATGGATGGGATGCAAAAGCTCACTTCTCTACTGGATTTGAAAATTTTGTCATGTCCAAGACTGACTCACGTTGATCAAGATATAAAATTTCTCCCCTCCCTCCAAAATCTGACTGTCATACCCAGAGACTTACTGGTGGATGAGAAGCGATTGCAAATTCTCCGGAGGACGGTACTTCTTAGTTCTTATCGATAAATTCCGAGGACAATTCTTCTTCTTCAACAGGTTATTACTTCTCTTCAAATTTATCTATCAGCCTTTCTTATTGTGTTAATTTGACTATTTTTTTTTTTTTAATTTATTTTAAATGATTTTAATGCAGAGCTTGAAATGTTTTGGATTTTGTAGTTAATTGGATGGTACGTATCTTAGCTCTTCATTAGTCTCTTTAATTCTTATTGTAGCTATTTGGGATATTAATCAAACAAATTTCTAATCCTCAATATACTATAACTTCATTAATTGTTTTGCTTTCAGGAGTTTCCACAGTCAATAAATTTATGCAACTATGAAACAAAAAACCAACTATCCAGGTAAATCATATCCCTTCTTGTAATCTGTTCTCTTTCTGCACAATTTTGCATTATGACTACTTGAATTTTAGACTTTTAGTGCATTTATTGCTTAACTTTATTATTTTGGTTGAATTGAAGCCAAGTATCTCTCTCTACCTTCAATGGAATAATTTGTTAAAACATAGGTAAAAAAACTGTCGAATTGTTATTAATACAATAAAATATTTATTTTTCAAGTCTTATACAATAGCACTTTAATGTTACTTTGATAATGTAAAGAGTTATGGCTTGCGATAAACAGAACGTTGAAGTTACAATTGATGCATATGAACCACTTCCACTTGTATCAATTATGTTATTGTATATTGTTGAACAATTATTCTCTCATGCCGACACCTCAATTTTCTTAAAATTCGATCTTACGCCAAATAATTTTAAATTTATGATAGAAGAAATTTGATTTTAATTTTTTCTATTAGTGCATTCATGGAGGGCTTAGTTTCTTCGAGAACCGCATCGCTGAATCTCAAACCCAAACCCGATCACTTCTCATACTCAATCGTACGTTCCGTTCCAATGGACCCGCATATACGCCACACCCTCGCCGCCTCCATTCGAGCTCAACAGGTAAACTCACAAACGTTCCTTTTACTTGTTATTTGATTGAACTACAGAGAAAAAAACTGTTCCTTTTACTTGTTATTTGATTGAACTGAAGAGAAAAAATGATACATTACTGCTAGTTTACTACCACATAATATCTTAATTACGTTACGGGAATGGTAAGGCGCGGTAACGTTACCCCGGCAGTAACATTGTTTTACGATCAGTTCAATTATTCTTTAAATTTATTTTAACTTGTTTAAATTTGATTGTGTTATCATTAGGGTAGATGAATTTTTGAAGGAGAGATATTGTAGGTAGTTTGTGAGTGTAATATTATTGTTTAGTGGGATTTATATGTGATTGGTGGATGTTAATTATTGTTGCATTGTGTTGCAACTAGTCTGGTAATGTTACCGGCCGGTACTAAAGAATGTTGTACTGTGTTTGTAGCCTGAGAGCAAGGATGGGTCAGCTGTAATTTCTCCTGTGAAGGAGGATGCTGAAATTGCTCTTAAGGCGAAAGAATGGGAAGTGGGGATGTTCTGAAATGAAGTAGCTGCTAGCCAAGGTATAAGAATAAGAAGGGCTCCCACTGGGCCTCCTTTGGAATATGCAGGACCCTTTGAGTTACGGATTCAGAATGAGAGCAGTTCTCAGAAAATTTTGGAGTAAATCGTATGGCACAAGGATGTTGAGGTTTCACAATTAAAAGAGAGTAGTCCACTTGATATGCTGAAGAAAGCCCTTCAGAATGCTCCACCCGCTAGAGATTTTATGGGAGCTCTTAGAGCTGCCCATCTACGAACTGGACTGCCTGGTTTGGTTGCCGAAGTAAAGAGGGCTTCTCCCAGCTGGGGAATCATGTGGAGTGGATTTGAATCAGAAACTATTGTGTACAACTTGTGTTTTGGTGATGTGTTATTTATCTTAAGCTCTCTTGATAGGTTGAAATGCCAAGCCAATGAGATCGGTGGAGCAGCATGCCTCAGTGTTTTGACAGATGAAAAAGTACTTTAAGGTATATGGATTTATGAGTTTATCTTTTTGCAGTCCTGGCTTAATGTTAATACGAAGATAAGTTGCTTTGTCTAGCTGTTCTAACTTCTCACTTCAAGGGTAGCTTTGAAAATTTGGAGGCAGGAAGGAGGGCTGGAGTAAAGGTCGGTCTGCAATTTGCGTATGCTCAGTCTGCAGTTTGGCCTTTTTTCAGATATATGACGATTAGAATTAGTTTGAGTTCTAATGTCTTGTCAAATTTGTGAGCCCGTTTACTGTGCCAACGAATTCATACTAGATGCAGGAGATCTACTATGCCCGAACTGAAATGTGCAGAGTGCAGTGCTTTTGATTGCTGGCTGTTTTTCATCTATCTTGACATCAGTACATGATTAAGGTCTGCAAGATGTTGGTTTCAGCAGCAGTATGGATGTTGTCTTTTGCATATTGTATTCCATACTATTCTGCAAACTGAGATTGTTTGAGAGGGATATTTTATGCTAATAGCTGTGTGAAACAAAGATGTTTATCTGTACGAGTTTAGATCTAGTTGACCAAAACTTAATTCTGTGGATAATATGAAATATTCAAATGCAGAGTCTGAAAATGGTGAAAGGTTTGGATGATGAAATTTTTTATCTTCTATTGGTTTAATCCATAGGTTTCATGATGCGAAGAATGGGATTTGTTTTGAGAATAGAGGGGAATTGAGATTATTGGTACAACATAACCTTGGTAGTTTTCGTAGTTTATCATAATTTGGTATATTTGGAAGTACATTACGTTAAGTTTGACCCTTAAGTAAGAAACCTGACAACGGGTGCTAGATACATGATGATAACAATTGTTAGCAAAACACAGTTGCAATTTAGATTTTTTCCTGTCCCCAGAAACATTAAGGTTGATATTAATAACACAAAAGCTTATTCAAGGAGAGCATGGCCAAAGGATCCGTCAAAAAACACAGATCGTAAGTTGGCTTTTACTAGTTTAGACCATTCACGAGAAGCATACATCTAGTGCAACTGTCTCCATCGTGGTTTTAAAAATAGGTTTCTTTTTCGTTTGCTTCAGTGATATCATGCTGTCCTAAGTGTGGACCTTTTTGGACTTCCTATTTGGAACCATGGGTAGTTGTGAATCTGGGCTATTTACTCCTGATCATATTACATGTGACAAGAAGCTAGTGTCAAAAGCTGTAAGTTTCAAGTCAACTTGCCTAACTACAAAATCTAAATTTCTGCAAATATTTTGCCTCTAAAACAGGATTTTTTTTTAAGAACCAAAATGTGTTTATTGCTATTCTTACTGGTCTTGAACACCTGGCATATACATTATTTTCCTTATTAAGGTTTCTTTTCTTTATCCAAAGTGATTATCCCTTATCCTCTGAGAGTGAAAAGAATGTTTTACTTGAAGGGACATAGAAATAGGTGATTCAGACTTTAGGATTATGTAATTAATTGTGTGACCTTGCGTGTTTTGGTTGGGGGGTTCAAGGTGAAAAAAAGGACCGCTGAAGGAATAGCTGGACAATTTGGTAAAAACATTCTTATTGAGCCATAGTAGAATGCTTATGCAGCTATTTACTTGCACTGTTTTCGGATTGAATAGGCTCAGACATCCGTCAAAAATCGTATCTGCTGTCCATGCTGGATTAATTTTATCGGGCTTCCCATTTCTTCTTTGAGTAGTACTTTAACAGAAATGTACTGTATTTGTGAATTATGAAGCAATACTTGGTCAGTGGTCTCTCTTTGAGAGCCAGAGGCAAAACAGAGTAATGCCAATAATTCAACTGTGGCTATAACAGACAGCGTTTATTAAATAAACTAAAAACTTCCATTTTTTCAATTTTAATATAACCGCCATTCATAATTGTAGTTTGAAATATCAATAAAAAATACAAATGGTCTGTTGTTCATCAAAAGCAGCTCAGGATTCCAATAGAGTTGGGCTATGCAACAGCAGTAGGAATGGCTGGTTGTTGCTGACTAATGCAATGAATATTTCCACCTGCCAAAACAATCTCCCTTGCACCTTCAATTCCTACCACCTGATCCGAAAAAACATTCTATAAGTTCATCCATAAAGGAAAAATAAGAAGGTGAGATCAAGATTAGACAAATATAACATCAGTCTGTTTCAATCTACGTTATGCAAAGATTGTAGAAATGACATATTTAACGAAATCACTTGCTTACTTTATGATTTGGGAACACTTTGGACAACACGCGAATAGCTTCATCATCTCATTTTTTGTCCCTGAAACGTGGTGTGGTGATCCCTCCATTAGCAATGTAGAAGTTTACATATGAAGCAGCAAGCCTGGTACCGGGAAGTCTTGGATTAGCCTAACCAACCTGAAGCCAAAACGTTAAAGAGTTAAAATTGATGCAGTACAAGATTTTGGTTTCACTCTTTGCACGCAAATCAGATATGATAAAAGCGTAGAGGTTCATTACTCATTAGTCTTAAATTGACATGTTATAATTAGTGAATGCTTTTGTTGAATTAATTTAAGTTTTTTATATTGTGAAATGACAAAAATAACCCTTACCAAAAGTGTCCAACAGAATAATAAACTAATCGTGACAGAGGCTTCAGTACACTTGT